AAATTGTGGCTCAAATATCCCCACATGTAAGAGCACGTGCAGCTCTAATATAAAGGTCTTTCTGCTTCATTTCAACCATTCTTTTAGCAGCATACAGACAACCTGTTATACTTAATATTCTAAAGAATCACCTGTAAGCTGGTAGCAATTCATTATGAATGAATCGATGACAAACAGCTTTAGAAGCTCTCCTGGGAAATGATCCCTACCCACACATGGTCTCTGCTCCTCCGTGAGTTGCAGCTGATGGTGGCCATGCACATAGCAGCACACCTGAGTTCTGGAGCAGTTCACATCAGTAGTACAATGGTCCATGAAACACCTATCCAGCTAATACAATCCCACGTGCTTTTCCTCATCTGCTTGCTGAATTCTTTCCTAAAAATACTGCAAAGTTTCCTTGGTCAGAATTGTTTTCTGCCCTTGGAAGAACACGTTCCCTTTGCAGCAGCAGTTGCTTGGAACACTTCAGCAGGAAATCCAAGCATGAGAGCACTCAAGCCAAGTGGGTGCTGGGGAGTCACCTCCTTTCTGAGCCTCCTTACAGATCATTCAACACTTACACTATTGATTTTTACCCATTCCTTCCCATTTCTCTCCACAGACCAACCACAACGCTGGAGCTCTGTAATTGATGACACAGGAACAGATCAAACTCTGGGAAGGCAGAGAACAACCAGCAGAAATGAAAGTGGTGTCTCTCTAATGTTAAACTCTCCTGCCAGTTATCCTGGGGCACGTACTTGTTTCGGGAAAGTGAATCAACTGCTGAATGATGAGCCCTCAAGGTTTTAAAAGTCAACTTTGGGAAGAAAAGGAAAAAAAAATAATCAAAAGATTGTTACAGAGTGTCTAGACTGACAACATTTAAGGTTTAAGTCTGGGCTGGGCATTGTGTTGTCCCTGTTCCAGCTGTCACAAAGGACTTGCTTCTGCCTGAGTTTAAGTCTACAGCCAGACAAAGGAAGGAATTGCACAGAACTCAAATTAAGACAAAAATAGAGTAGATATGGATAGGAAGGAGACTACTGGTGTATTAGTTTATCCATGCCTGCATCACGTGCACTGTTTTGGCAAGAAAAGATATGGTAAAGCCCCACCAGAGCTGTCCTTGGACATTATACCACTCAAGCAAACAGAACAAGACCAGCAACACACTCCAAGCACGCACAGAGATAAGCTTCTATGGAAATAACCTCTGATTCTTCTTCACACGCTGTAAAAATAAAACTGCTTTCAGGCTGTTGAGAAGAAGCAACGAGGCCAAATGGCCAGTGCTGCTTGTTTATTTTAAACAGATGCCCTCTACCATCGTTTCAAAACGAGGCAGATAATCCTGTCTGTTCAGCCTCCCATGGGCAGTGGTTCAGACATACTGCTGCACCATCGCACCAAAGGAAGCTGCTATCACATCTCTTTCTCAATTAACACCATTGCACAGCTATCTCAAGGTAAGGCTCTTTGGAAACACCTATTTAGGATGCAGTAGCATGGATATATTCCTACACGTGTACTTCCAACATTTTCCACGTAGCCAACCTTCATATACAGCAATCCTATTTTGAGTTCACTCTGTGAAACCTAATGTCCTAATAGTCCATCCACACCACGGACTCACAGCCTGCCCCCAGATCAGGTGCAATACAAACCACATCAACTTCTCTTGAGCTGCCCCACACAGCCACAGATCTGCCCTTCTGTTCTCAGGGCTCCTTCCAGCTCAGTTTTCCCCATCTAAGTGAAAGCCATGCTAGAAAAAAAGCTGTAGGCAAACTCTCTGCATGAGCCAGAGCACTTCTAGTATAGTCATGGCCAGTAATGATGAGACTGTTGCTAAGTCACAGCCTGCTCCAAGCTCAATGGAGCCATTAACTAGCCCACAAATAGAGCATTCTTTCTGGTGGTCTTCATTAGGCATGTCAGACAATTGAAAAATGTGCTACTTCAAAACAAAATAAAGCAAAGGGGATAGCTAGAGCCCGGCTCAGCATCTTGCTAATCTGGATAATGCACTGAAGTTTTGGTTTTTTTTCTTGTTTTGACAGAGAATCCTATGTGCTGGAATGAGAATACTTATCTATTTATCTATCTTATCTATCTAAACACAACTGTGTACAGCAACTGTGCTGGAGTTTAAGGTGCTGATTTCTCTTAAGCACAAGACAGAAATACTGTAAAAAAAAAAATAAAAGTCTCAGACCCAGCATGTGAAGTCAACAGGAAGAAAGTGGAGGAAACAACACACAGTTGGCTTAGCCAAAATAAAAACTAGTTCAATGGCTGAACAGCACTTTTTCAAAGATTTGCACATTGCAAATGCATGGCTTCATTAGTACATATGCACCATCCAAACACATAAACAAGGCATCCCGCCTCTCTTCTTTGCTCTGGCTGAGTCCTAGATTACGATGTTGAAACAGCAAAATCCAGAGAGTGCTTTGTGTCTGTAAATAAACCCGTGGGTGTGGTGTGACAACAACAGCAGAGCACTAGGGATGGCACAATCACCAAACTTGGAGGCCACCTGGAAGCCTGGCACAGCTGTTGTTTACTATGGATCTCAGCAGGAAAATTCAGCTCAATGGGGAGGAGGGCAGGAGGAGGCATGCTGGGGGCAGAGAGAGGCCACAAAGGCTGGCCAGCACTGGGGCAGCACTGTTGGCTGCTTCCCATATGAACCAATACTTGAAGACTTTGGTTTGCAAAAACAATTGTGCGGTTCATCTCCTTCTTTCAATTATACCTCCCTTTCAGGTGCATTTCTAGGTCTCATCTCTTTGCAGACAGTTCCCATGTTTAGCAGTAAAGTCACCTGCTCTCTCAGAAGACCATACCTGTGCCATCATTTCTGCACTTCCCTTTGGGATCAGACATCCCAATACTTTTATCTTACAGATCATTCTCAACCAGTTCTCCTACAGTAAAAAATTTAAGTGACACTTAAGCAGCAATAACCACATGGGATCCTCACTACACATTTTTAAGGAAGAACTGGTAAACATCACCTTTTTCCATTTTGCATTTAGTAATTATCACTTCATTTAGCGCTTCTATTAGTGCAACACAAAGCAGCTGGCAGGCCCAGCACTCTGTGTCCAAGTGACCTTGTGTTCTTGTTCATGTTTACCACATAATCAGTAGAGAATTCCATTTTCAAAATACAAGACTTCATAATCCATTAGCACTAGAGATTGGTCCAGGGCCCTGGATTTACTGGTCACGTGTGCCAAGGAATAAAAATATGAGTGCACCACTAGATTAATCTCCAGACCTGTAAAGCATTCCAACCTACCATGCATACAGTAGCCTCGCTCAAATTCACACACCAATATTAGCATCATTCTTTAAAGCTACCACTAATACCATCCCAACAGTACACGAAGAGAAAATTAAATGTTACCTGCTTTATAACTCAGCAAGTATGGAGACACACAGTAACTGACTCCATTACTCAGATTTTCCATGCATGAAATAACAGGAGTACTGATGTTCTCAGCAGTGTGTCAGCTATATGTACCTCTTCCTGCTACATCCAAGAGGCAGAAATTGCTTTTGCTGGTCTTAATTTTAAATCAGAAGTCTTTAGCAAGTCCAAGTAGATTAGCTCACCATCAAGCTAAATACATTAGAGAAAAGAATCAGGGGAAAGCATCTCAAAATGTAACCTTGGCAACACACAAAACGCTTCCACTGAACTTCACTCATTTGCTTTATTTGCTGCTTCAGAAATTGGAATGTAACACATAGGCAGAAGGACATTAGCATCAAGACACTGCATTTACCAAGCCTAAAACACTACATGTGTTTCCCTAGAAGGCACTTTCCGCATTACACCTTAAAAACCTACAGCCAAGCAACTTAGATGATTCCAAACTAATGATATTTCACGATAATAAAATGGAAAATGGAAGTATTCAATAGAAAATAGCAATCCATATTTATTCTTCACGTCCACACGCAGCACTTTAAAGGTAATTTGGTTCATGCTTTCAACTGATAAAATGAAAACAAACTCAACAGTGACATACAACGTCTGCCATTTGAAGAATCAGCGTTTATCAGTGTTATCACACAGCTTTAACTGTGGCCCTACACAGTTCCCCCGCATGCAACACTTAGATTGAAAACAGCTATTACTCTACCTACCATTATGTGGTATTTGTTGGCAAATACTGATTCTTGAGTGGCAACATCATTATTCAGTGTTTATACAAGTCTACCAGGATAAACAACCTCTGATTCATGTTGACAAAGAGAGTTTTAAAATGTCTTGCTGCTCCTTTCAGCATGCTGTAACTATGAGTTAACTGGTCCTTATCCAAGCCCAATCTGAAATTCAGAGCACTTTCCTCAGAGCTCATCAAGGCCCAGAAAAACATCAAGCAGAAAAGCAGATTGTTTCTATGCACCATTTTCCAACTTCCAGGAGAGGACACGAAAAACAACCTTTTTCTACCTTTTTGTATACTTTCCCAAAAAGCAAAGTACAATCTGATTTTGGGTAGAGTCTGAAGATCTGAAGATTACCACCCCCTCCAAACTTTTCAGCTCTACCCTTAGTTGGTTTTGGGCTGAAGAAGAGCATTTCTTTGTTAGCTTCACTAACTTCTGCTGCTTATCTCCTTTTGGAGCTGAGGATGACCTTCCAACAATGGCAGTTTCCTGTTTCAGCGTCACCCAGCCACAAAACGCTGTTCAATTTCTCACATAAAATAAGCATCAGAAACAAAGCTTTGCTAACAAAATAAATATAGAAGCCATTTTTTATTCATAGATTTCAAATCAATGCAGAAACACACAGCATAACAACATTACTGAGCGCTTCCTGAGGCCATCAGCTGATTTCCCTGTTAGCACTCTCTGAAACCTATTTGCTGCCACATGTGGAATTCTGCCCAGTCCGAAACCTGAGCTGCACACACGAGGGCTGCCCCCAGTAAATCAATAAAAGCAAAAACGATACGACAAGTGATCCAGCAGGTCAGTGGTTTGTTACTTACAAGGCACAGCATGGCGATAAAGGTTATCTCTAATAGTCTGTTGTAGATCGTGATCCGGTGATCCTTTCTGAAACCTCTGGTTGAGATAATGTCTCAGGTCCTTGTTCAGTCTGCTTCCTGCAAGGCAAACACAGCCATTTATTTACTTCTAAATGCACACAATTAACATTTCCAATTCAGGCAAATGTTAGGCCTCCATTCAGAGTCCCCTAAATAATGGCATGCTGACTTTACGAGCGGAGGCTCATCTTCCTCTACAAATGGCTAATTACCAAAAATAACTCGCTGTAAACAAGAGGTCTCTCTCGTCTCATAATGCATCTTTCTTCTTGTGGTGTTAAGCAGATCGTCATTCCCTTTTATCACTTATTTGTCTGAGCAAATGGAGAAAGACAGATGATGTGAAATTGATGAAAAATAATAAAGGTATTGTTTTTGCAGCTCTTTGGAGAGCGAGCTGGGCAAAGAGATAAAAAGCAAAGGCACTAATATAGCTGAACACGGCATAAAATCTAAGAATGATACTTTGCACTGGTATCTACCCTAACACACAGTTGGGAAAGAATTGAATGAAGGAGCTCAGAGTAACCAAAGTCCTTAAAACACCAACAGAATAATATTCAACGCTTCTCACTTAAGTTTGTTTCCCCATACATAGAATCATTATAGAACCATAGAATGGCTTGGGTTGGAAGGGACCCCAAGGATCATCAAGCTCCAATCCCCCAGCTGCAGGCAGGGCTGCCAACCTCCCCACTTAATGCTAGACTTTAATTCAGCTCTGAACACTTCCATAAGTATGTGAGAAGAAAGACAGATGTGCTAAAACAACAATCACCAAAAAAAAAGAGAGATTTAGCTGTAAATGAACATGGAACACCGAATACTTTCCTGCAGCAGAATGTAAGAACTGGAGTAACTTCATGAAGTCTTGTCCCAGAAATTAAATATTCTCAAATCTCAAATAATGCTGATCTCAATTTGACTGAAAAGCAAAAACAGAACCCCACACGAAATTATAGAGAATGGGGAATGAAACCCCTTCTGTTCTTAAAATGGGGAGTGGAAAATAATTCACACAGGCTGAGGCAGTGGGAGGAGAGCTGGTTTGCCAAAAAATGGTAGGACATCCCTTGAGTTGAAAACGAATTGCTGGCAGCTAGGACTGTACCGAGAGAAGCAGCAGTGGAATATTAAATATTTCTTTCCTTTGCTAAGCACCTTATTTATGGCCACAGGCAGAGCTCAAGCAGTGGGCTGCATGGACCTTGAGCTGAACTCCTACAGCTGTTTCCGTGGTCTTTCATAATCATAATCACGACTTTTTTAGATGGTGAACATGTAATGCAGAAGCCAGCCCAATACTTGTGACACCAAATGTAGTGTTGCAGTTAGAGGTTCCTGGCTGGAGCCTCTAGGAACCACTGCAAAACAAAACAAGAGTAATAATGCTGCAACAGAGGGCAGTTGGACAGCAGCTCTGGGAGGCAGCAGTGGTCCAAAGCAAACGAGAAACAGTGCAGAGCATTTACCAAACAAGAGCAGGAACAGTGATCTGCCTAAGGAAGGTTAGCAGTAATGTTGGTTTAAAAACAAACAATAAAAATGATCTTAGTCTGAAAACGAAGTTAAATTCCATAGAATAAAATAGGTGATCTGCATGCCCTTGTGCTGCTGTTGTTTTTAAGATTACATTTATTATTGAAGGAAGGAGAGAGGAAGGAAGGGTTAAGCAGTGGCCCTTTTTCCTTACAAGAAGTGTTCAGAGACCAAGATGCTCACTGCAAGAATGGCTGAAACAATAAAACTGAAGAAAGGCAGAGGAACCATTCTCATCACGTTGTCCTGACTGACCCCAAGCAACACCTCTCACTCCAGGAGCAGGTGATCAGTCTGGTTTCTAACAAACTATCTTTGGCTGTTCCACCAGTAAAACACTGCACATAACAACCTAGGAGGTGCTTGAATAGACTGTGGGCTGCAGCATTCTCATTTCAGACCAGCCCTCCCAAGCTCAGGTGTTTGGTGGATGCTGAGTCTTTTGACTCCAGAGAGGGAGACTGCATGACAAAGAGCATCCTCAAAAATAATCAAGCACTTCTTTCAGTTGAGCAGTTCACATTTTAATTTGCATATGATAATGACACAAGGTGGTTACTCATAGCTAAAAAAAAACTAAGCATGATGAGCAGTTTGGACATAATACAAACACTTATTCCAGTGAAGGATAAAAGTATTTATCCTACAGACTTCCTCCTGCAATACTGTGCAGTTCATGATTTAACAATTAATGTCACAATCATGAAAAAGCTCTACTGAGATAGGGTCTTCTCGACCACAGAAAGCATACAATTTACTAATGATATCAGCAGTTATCTTCCCTCTGATTCCATTCATTGAGTATCTCAGCCTATTACAGCCTCCACCAAAAGGTTTGGCTCTCTCTGACACAGTAGCTGGAATTTCAAGCTGAGTCACTGATGTGCTGACCAAGATGGCACTTGGAAATGCAGGCACCAGATACTTGCATACTTTTTCCTTCAGGGAGTCATTCCTATTATATGCATTTCAAATGGGAAGGAGGAAAAAAAAGAAAAAGAACAAAAAAATACCCTCACCGCATCACATTTTTGTTGCTAAATTCCAGATGGAAAAAAGGCTTCTTGCAGCTGAGCCCAGGGCTGTGGACAAAAGCAGGCTCATCCCTTACAGCCCACTGCAGAGTATGGAAGGTGAAAATGAGCTAACACAGAAACAAACCCCTTACAGAAAGCTGCCACAGGAATCCACCACAGAACATGCTGGATTCTTTACCACTTGAAATGTTTCAGTCCAGGTGCTCAATACCAGCTTTCCCAAGCAGATTCTAGAGCAAGACACAAGTTTACAAAAGCTGATACACTCTTTCTGAGCCCCCACATGCCCCACAATTCCTAATAATCAGAAAGACACATCAGTAGCTTCTCAGAATCTCCCACATGCAAACTGCAGCACCAAAACTCCTTCTGACCTCCATGGGCACCCCTGCCTCATTCACTGCTCCCTCTGCAAAAGAGTCTCATCACTGATGGCTTCTGCCCATACATCAGCCCAAGGCTGGGTTGAAAAGGAGCGCAGCACCATCTGATTTTATACACAAGTCCTCCCCTTTGTAAAATCTAAATTGAGGCATCAGTTGTGCTAAGAATACACCTGGATTCAGTTTCCTTAGAGATGAGCTGTGTAACACTTCTAAATGCTCCTCCGTTTTCAAGGAGATTGGATCTTACATTTGTTCTTTGAAGAACCTTCCTTTTCTTCTCTCTAAGCACATGTACAGAGGCCATACAGTGGCAGGAGCAGACCAACAGCAGCTGCAGTCCAGAGCAGATTGGTGAGTGCCCAGACCTTCCTTCCTGCTGGCCAGGCTAGATGGGAAATGCATTGATTTGCCCAAAGAAAAATTACTACATCCTTCCCATAATCGAAACTGGGCTGAGATGTTCAGTTCAGATCACACATTAAAAAAAAAACATCAAAAACCCACCATATAATGAATTTTTTTCCTATTAAACTCATTGAAATTAATACTTGAAAATTAGTATTTTCAAGTATTTCAATTAGAAAATATAACTTGAAAAAGAATTAAAACATGTTACAGAATTGTTGTTGTTGAAACAGTTCCTTTCCATTTTTTAGCCCTGGAACAATGAATCATAGGAGAGCCAACCTTCCAGTGTTGCTCCAGACCTGAGAAGTTTCCATCCTATTACCAGAACTCTTTACCTTTTACAAAGGGTGACTTATTGTACGTCTGTTTTTCTCAATTACTCTTAATTATTGTACTGCATTTCAGAGCAGGTCAATCATTCTCTCAAACCATTATACTGTAATAATACCTTAGTAACAAAAACAAACACCAAGAGAGAAACAAATCATCTCTCCTGTTAAAAAAAAGAGTCCTGCTGATACAGTTTTCTGAAAAAACAGTAAGAAGTGCTTGTCAATTTTGTGGAGGTATATATGTAACCTAAATTCTTTTGCAATTAATGAAGACGACTGAGACTTCTTTCATGCCCTCAATCCTCTGTCACACATTCACCCTCCAACAGTAACCCAATATAAAGCCACTAGAGAAACTCTGCTTTGAATGATGCTCTGCTGCTTGTTGCTACAGCTCCCAGTTTCTGCAGGAGAGAAGGCTGCATAGGAGCTCATCTAAAGCTGTCATTGTTGCCAAGAACGTCCATCTCTCCCAGAGCCCCACCACCAGTGAGCAGCAATGCAGAGTTGCCTTCTGAAAGCTGCTGGCTGTTGCGACATTTGGGCTTCAATAAGGAAAGCAGACTGCAGAAATGACCAAGCAAAATCTGAGATTTCCTCCACAAAAAGCTGAGCGAGAACACTGAAGGGCTGACAGCACCTTCCTGCCAGCTGGTAGGCAGCCTATGCCAGAACTCTGCAATATGTGTATTCTGAAGACATATCTCGAGTCCATTTTTTATGCACTTGGAAGCCAGCAATTTACAGTTTATGTTTATATTAATTGCTGCAGCTGTTTCTATCCCATTTGTGCTTTGGGACAGCCATAGATAATCCCGATAAATAGCTCCAGTCTGACAGCATATAGATGCTTGTACAAAGGGATCAGGCCCAGGACATAGTGGTCTGACCTATATATTACACTCCTATAAAAATATTTACTGATGTCAATCTTCTATCTTTGCCCTTCTTTGGGAAGGTTACCAACTGCCATATTCACAGGGACTGAAAGACCTGAACTAGAAAAATCCATTTTTCATTCCTGAATTCCCCTTTTCTTGTAGAGGATATCTTCATTTCGAGGCGTCTTTAGCAGAGCGATCCTCTGTGGACAGACAAAGACCATTCTAAACAACAGGACCATGAAGTAATCAAAGGTTAAAGGCCTTGCTAAAGGGATAAGAGTGCAATAGAGTCATCTGGATTAAGACTCTCTCTTGTCATCTGATGTCTACATTGAGGGAAGGATTCAATTTTTTAAAAGACACAAAGATTGCACGTTGGATTTGCAGAATAAACCCCTGATTATAACATACTGTCTTTCAGCCGACGAGTCCTATCTGAAGATATTTAGCAAACAAGTTATTTTTGTAGAA